AAGTAATATAAACAAAGAAAATTAAAGAACATACATTTTTGGTAGATAGTGTAAACAAAGTGACATTACATGACAATTATTATTTGTCATAACATTTTATTAGATCGATGGCATGGTTTGACATAATTCCTCAGGAGAAAAAATTATACATATACACTTAAAAACTCGATACTTAATGTATTCTCCATATAAATGTATTGGATCATTTTTAATGAATGGCCGTCGTCAATAGAAAATCAAGAAGATTACTCTACTTGTTTCTATTGACGGCTGCCCGAATCTTCTCATTCCGATATACATGTATGTTTGACGGATTTATTTTATTTTAGTAATTTTTAATGTCCTTATGTGCATATGATAAATATAAATGCAAAGGAATATACCGAAGTGGAAATTTAAGAATGATAGAAATTTACCAATCAACGCTAGATTATTGTAGATCATTAACCTTTTCGTGTATTTCGTTTAATTAAATTAAAAATTCTTAAAGTTCTTAAAATCTATTGTGCGTAGTAATATTTGTCATTCACTAAATGCACTCTCTGTAAAAGGTTTAGATTTAAAGCAAATACGCCGATTTGCGATTCATTTTTAGGAAATGATTCATTTGTAAAAGCTTATGTTTTAAATCTTACATATTGATATAAAAAATCTTTAATGAAAAGATAATATAATTTCTAATATCATTTCAAGGTGACCAATGAGTTTTTGTGGGAACGAACTACACTTTTAATTAACACACAAATATGCACAGAAGATTCTATTTATAACTATGACAATGAAAAAAGTTAACCCGATACCATCATGTATTAACATCCCGATCTGTCAGGAAGTTGCATTATAAAAAAGTCCAGGAATGAATTCAGATTTCTTTTTATATTGTATAACTTAACTTGTTCTTGTTCGCGCTTTACAAATATTTAATTTTATATGCGATTCATCTTTATTTCTCATCACCAGCGAAAATTAGTTGAAAATAATTCAAAGCGAATAAATATACAAAAATTTATTTTGTTTATTAAAATTATTTAACTATTTACAAAGAAATGAAAATTATTTTCGGGTTTTTATTAATATCATGTTTCGCGTTCTCGATCGTAATGTCTGGTGCTGACCATCCGTCTAAAACGTAAGAAATTAAATTTGTACTCTTTTGAAATAATTTTAACTTGCAATAATTAATTTCTATATTTAAAAGTGATCCCCTAGAACCTGAGACTCCTAGGTCCTCTACAGCTAGTCCCTTATGCGCAACTGCAACCACTAGCAGCAGCAACCGCAATGATAACAGTGTTAGCAATGGTAATTCTAATAGCAATAGCAATATTAACAACAACAGCAACAACAACAATAGCAACAGCAGCAACAACAACAATAACAACAACAGCAACAGCAACAACAACAGTAACAGCAACAATAATAACAGCAACAATAAAAATAGTAATAACAGTAACAGTAGCGGTAACAGTAGCAGTAACAGTAACAGTAATAGCAACAGCAATAGCAACAATAATAACAACAATAACAGCAACAATAACAGCAACAATAACAGCAACAATAATAATAGTAATATTAGCAACAGCAACAGCAACAGTAACAATAATAATTCTAGTTATGGGAATTCTTCCATTGAAGAATCAAAAACCAGTTTAAAGTATGAATTTTTTTATTGCCATTTATTGTGTTATATTTAACTTAATTACATGTATATTAATACATGTATTAACCAATTGCATAGCATAACAATGACGCCGACTGCTACGACACAAATTCAGTAAGATATTTTTTACTTTTGTTGTTTCTCTGCATTGAATGAGATTTGAAACAAAATAAATAAAATGATAAAACTGATCTCACCTACTTTATCATATTTTATAGAGGAACCGTCATCGGCGTTACAGTTAATCCAAGCCAACCAGCCATTTCTCCTTCTCCCACTCAGAATATTAATAATGTGCCTTCAAATTCTTCGAATGCTGAAAGAAATAATAGTTTTACTTTTTTGAGTAATGTTGTAATTGGATTAACAATGATTGTTGGCATGAATTTTTGGAACATTTTATAGTTTATTAATTTATCATGAATTTCTTATGCGGTAGTACAATATATATAGCACCTTATTTCGCAGAGCGAAATATCCTCAATGATTTGTTTCTGATAAAAATTAAGAAATACATATCTGTAATTTTCGCAAGACTCGATACAAGTTATATTAAAATCTATTTATCTTTATTCTGGGAATAACACAAAATTTTTTTTATAAATTTACATATGTGATTGTAATACTTTAATTATTAAAGAACAAATTATCACAACTATTAATAAAATTTGAATGATTTTTTAAACTATAATAACAATAAAACATGTAACTTCATTTCCAGAAATCATTTTATTCTATTGTTGGTATAGAACTGCCTCATACACATCCCTACCACAAATTACCGAAAATCAAAATAAAACATAGTAAATCACGAAATTTTCTCTACATATAAAAGTTTTTAATCTTATTAATAAATCTTTATTTTGATATAAAAATAAGAAATACTTATTAATAAGATTAAAACTTTTTTATATGTAGAGAAAATTTCGTAATTTATTATGTTTTAATTTGATATTCCGGTAATTATGGTTGAGATGTGTATATGATTGTGCTTTAATTTCACAACATTTATCAAAGATTTATTCATGAAATAATTTGATAAAATTAACTTTAATTGACAGAAATAATCTAAATAAAATTTCAGTCAATTTAATTACTACATAAAGAACCGTATATAAAAAAATTTAAGATCTTAAACACATTCTATACGTATGTGAAAACTGGATCACGTTGCAAAACAATAATGTTTAAATTGAGTTTAAATACGTATGATAATTTAAAAATATTGATATTGAATTAAGATTCACAAAATCGTTTGTCAAATTTGGACCAAGATATCCAAAGTTCTTCTGTATCTTTAATATTAGAATAATTTACCATATTTATCAAAATAAAATTCAAAATCTTTTTTACGATGGATGTTTGCAGCTGATTGTTTTGACCCACTATACAATACACAACTGAGGTGTTTGAATGTAACATTTATTTTATTAATTTAAAGACTGCAAAAGTGCTGTGTAACGTCGGTGCTGTTAGTAAAAAAATTTTAAAAATTCGGTTTATCCGAGATTTCATTAGTAAATTCGGTTTAACGGGGTAGATTTACTATAACTGATCTTGGAGCCATCTTCGGTTGTAATTAGTGCTTCGGTTAAACGGGGTTGCCTTTGTAGTAAATAAAGATAGACTCTACAATCCCGGTGCGTTTTTTTGCCGTTCATATATGACCGAAAATAGGAAACTCCCCAATTTTTTTAAAAAAGGACAAGTACCGAAATTAAGAAATGCAAAAAATAAGAAAACTTTGAGATTTTATTAGATTTATTTTTGTCGTATTGATCAAAAACTTTGCGTATTCCTATTTTATTAATTTCTAAATACATGATGACCAATTGAATGATATTTTATCATGAGATACTGTTGCCGTAGCAGTACGTGTACATGTACATGTATTGTCTCGTAATGCTTGAAGCAGATCCCGCACAAATTACTACGGAAATTCCCCATTTCGTAGCATCAGTATAAATGCATGCTTCAACAATCTATACGAAATTCTTACCTTGTGATGTCAACATCAGCATTGCCGTCCATAGTACAAAATTATTAGTTTACGATCTCAAAGAATGTGAGTTATTAAACATTCTTATCATATGTTAGTTCTTTAATCATAGAAACATTTATATCAACATTCACTTATTATTTTTAGTTAGATTTAATTCTTTGTCTCAAAGCATAGCCAAGCCCTTTTTGTGAGAATTCCTAAATAATTCATAGTTTGTGCTTGAGATTCCATGAAACTGTGTATCCAGTTGATGTGGTCCTGAAAATTGTACTTACCGTATATCTCCGAATGTAAGCAACCCCCGAATATAAGCAACCACCTCTTTTTAAGACCTGAGGTTCTGAAAATATTATATATAAAACATAATAAATTTATACTCGAATATAAGCAACCCCCGCCAAAATCTTGCATTTTTTGGTTGCTTATATTCGGAGATATACGGTAAAGAATATTTATCCAAAGGTTTGAGAATTAAGCAATGGGCAGTTTTAATAAATTAAATATTAAATTTACTTTGAAGCTCACAAAACTGCGCTTTGGCTCTTATTTCTTTCATGTCATAATGAAATTGATAGCTTTTATATCTTTTGTGTTTAACAAAATTGATAGCTTTATTCGTTTTGCCTTGATGTGTTTTCTCTTGATTAAAAACTATTACAGGAGACAACTAGAGAACTTTTCTCCTTGTAAATCATTCAGTTCAAGCTCCTTTAACGTCATGTTGCATTCTACTTCCTTTAGATCCAACAACTTAGAAAGTGAAGCATTTCACGAAAGTATCTGATCTCTTCTAACTTTTAATAAATTATGTGCAATGAACAAAAATTTCCTGAGCACAAAGAACAATATGAATGCTGATCATCTATACTTTTATTGACTGGTAAGCTTTCACATCAGGCATTGGATATTCATCAAAACTTTCACTCTCCAAATATAATTAGCCACTTTATGATGCATATCTCAATATTCAGTGTCTGATTAGTAATGCCATTCGAGCAGAATACTTGATTCATCTAGCTGAGATAAATCAAATAACAATATTTTTGATTGAATCTGATCACTAAACATCGAGATATTGCATTCTAAAGTGATTGATTAATTTTTTGATACCTAATAAAGTAAATCAGTCACTTTGAAATACAATATATCAGTATCTAATGAACCAATATTAACAAAAATTTATTGTTTGATTCATCTTGACTAGACAAATTGAATAATAAATTTTGCAAATATTATATTATTGGATGTTAATATTAGGAATATAGATATAATATCATATTATAATTAAAAATTATAATACCTATAAGCCATAACTATACTATAACTTTTTTCTCAAGCAATAAAATTATTGTAACTAATATCATATATCATATTTAGTGCTATATGCTGTAATTAATATTATATAATATATAATATCATTAAATTTCATAGAACTATTGAGATAAGTAATTATATTAATGATATTTAAAGAGAATTAAATTTTAATTTAAAAAAATATAATAAAAAATTTATTTTTTTATTTTAAACTTTTTTTTTTTTTTAAAGAAAAATATTAATTCTTTTAAATTATAATTTAGATAAAACTTAATAAATATATTACTATTTTCACTTCTTTTTTTATTACTTATTTTATTATTATTAGAATTAAAAATTAGTAATAAACTTATTTAATAGTTTATTATCTTTAGAATTTAAAATTATTATAATACTTATTAATGAATTATATAGTATTTTTCTTAATTCTTTATTAATTAATTTTTTATT